CTACTACTACTACTACGACTCCTTCTCACTACTAACTACTACTACTACTACTACTACTACTACTACTACTACTACTACTACTCTACGACCACCACGATCCATCGGCTCGAGGCTTCGTTGGCCTCCCGGAGTCTTTTCGCCTTGAATAGGGGATGCAAGGGACGAGTTGGCACTCTCCTGACTCCTGCCCTATGACATAGGCACTTTGCAGATCCTGAGATTCGCCTTCTGCTTCACAGGACAAGTGACCATCAAGAGCCTCCTCCGCAACTGGGGCCTCAGTTTCGTTGGGAACCTGCTCGGGTGCCTCACGCTGAGTGCTGTGGCCCAGTACACCGGCCTGCTGACAGGCTCCAGGGAGTGTTCCCTCAAGCCATCAGGCCCGATAGGCCCTATAGACCGTACCTGTAGCCGAACACACTTACCTTTTTAAGGAACTCTATATAGAAACCATAATAAGGAACCCTAGAAAGGTAGGTCTTTTCGGCTACAGCTAAAGCCTAAGATCACGTTTCTCCCTTTGCAACATACCGCCTTAACCCTAAACCCCAAACCCTAAACCGTATACGTCTCTCAATCCAGTCCTAAGGGCTTCTTTGCTACTCGTACCATCAAAGGACTACCGCTGCTATAGGAACTGTGATGTCCCTTACTAATATCAATACATACTATGTTTCTTTATAGTGGAATACAACTGCGACTAGTCTTTGATTTTATTATGCCTTTCTCTATTCCTGTGTAGACTTATACCAAATTGCCAGACAGTGAGGCTGAAGGAATCCGAAGTTGTTCTTCCTCCCTTCAAACCCGAAGCCCTAGCTGTACCGTATAAAATCCACCTTCTGAGCGGGTTGCTAATCAAGGTATCCTTACATAAGCCTTTCGGAAACGACTAGGTTATTTGGGGCTAAGGCAAACCCTTCGGCGAATCTCCTCAGTTCGCTACCTGTGAGAACCGATGTCTGCCTTTCTAATCGGGTTGTGGCTTCAGCAATTCTCAAACCCTTCTTAAGTCCTAAACTGCAGACTTTGGTTTAGGGTTTAGGGATTCAAGAAAGGTGTTTTTGGGATCGGGGTCTACATTACAGTTCAAAGCCTCTGAGTCATTGGCCCTGGCAGGGGGTGCCGCTAGCATGGCCATGGAAGCCGTGCTGTCCAGGCTCCGCGGCGTAAGTAGGAGCGGCTTGTCGTTTCCGCTAAGGCTCCATGCGCCTAGTATATATATATATATACACTTCGGCTTTGTAGCTTCGTAGATACTTGGGCCACCACAGTATTTACTATACGATTACTTGGACCCTTTGGTTCTCGATTCAGGAATATGTGTTTACGAGATGGTGGTTTTATAGCTAGACGTACTCTTGCAGTAAAAATTTCTCGCGTTGCGATGCAAGGCCTCCGCACGAAGCCTACAAGCTCCAACCCCAGACGTGACCAACAGCTGGGTCTCTGATTTCATATCTAAGTATGCGTTATGAGCCCGTTCATAAGAGGTACTCGTATTACGCTAAGATACTGCTGATGGACAAAATTCTGCATGACCCAAATATAGTATAGTACCATAAATCCCATAGTTTAGGTATATAAGGTCATGCAGGAGTTTGTCCATCAGCCGTAGCCCTGCTTCTCAAGTTACTCGAACCTGAAACCTGATTCCTGAATCCCCAAAACCTTGAAGTATTGTGGTGCCTTACACGCCCTTCATGTCGTTGCTGGTTTAATCCAAAATAAAAATACCCCTACAGGAACTTTAAAACTACTTTCTCTTGCACTGGCATTCCCTAAGCCGAAACCTTAAACCCTGATCCCTACACCAACCCCTAACCCTTCAATGAAGGTGCTCTTCAAGTTTTGGGCAGACTTTGGTGAAGGGCGTCATGTGCAACTGGCTGCCGCCTGGCCCCAGACCTCGAACTCTTCATTTCGGATCCATGACAAACTAACGACCAGAAGCCCTTGAAATCGGTATCCTGGTGACCTTCTTCCCGAAATCCTAGTTGCATTGCCGATTCCTTCAACACTTTTCTACTGTTCCCTATAGGGCTCCTTCCCTAAGGGTCCAAGTACCCAAATAGTAGGGTTTCAAGGTCCAAAAACCATTCAGAGTATGGATTTTGGGACCTGAAACCTTATTATTTTCTCTGGGCTTCTTATCCAAGTCGCTGTTCTGGCTAGAAGAGCCCCTGCGTTGCAATCCTGCACCCCAGCGCCCAAAGCCCAGGGCCGGAACGTAGGGTTTAGGATATAGGGTTTCAGGTTCAAGGGTTGAGGGTTTAAGGTTTAGGGTTTTGGGTTTTGGGGTTTATAAGCCTTAAACCCTAAACCCTGTAGGTTTTGGGTTTTGGGGTTCATAACCCTAAACCCTAACCCCTAGAGGGTTTAGGGTTTGAGGTTCAAGGGTTGAGGGGCTCAGGGCTGCGGGGTTTAAGGTTATATGTATGACTAGAAGCCACAAGCACTGGCCCCTACATGGGTAGTTGTCAAAATTATGTTCCCTGTTTGGGTACCTTAAATACTAGGTGCCGTGTTAAAATAAGGACCCAAAAAGGGACCATAATTTTGACAACCACCTACATCTCTTACACACCAAAACACCTTGCACACCTTAACCCCCCCGCTCCCTCCACCCGCGATATTTGAACGTGAACACCTAGGCCTAGAAGCCGTAAATGGCCTCAACCATTCCCTAAACAAGCCAAACCTTAGACCCTCAATCCAGAGCTGTACAAAATTTAATGCAGGAACATGATTAAGAAATCCTGGCCCTATAATCCCCAAATGTTAGGATTCGAAAAACCAGAACTCCAACAAAGACCCAGGGTTTAAACCATAAACCCTGAACCCTAGA